ATGAGAGACCCTCAACTTTCTATTCAGAGAAAGACATTTCACAAAGCTTTTTTTTTTTTTTTTTTTTTTTTTTTTTTTTAAATAAGAAACGGATGTAAAAATCTTTCCTCCTCGAGACTGAAAATTGCTCGACAAAAATCAAACTTACAGATCAAAAATAAAAGGAAAAATCGATAATTTGTTCTATGCCCGCAACAAAACAACAACATCATTTTGTTTTCTCAGACACTCTGTTCTCTCCAAGGCAATTTGCAAAGAGTTTTCTTAAATTAAAGTCTTAAGATTTTAACATGACTATCACTAAATCTGGCTGGATAATGAGCTTGAGCCCCATGATTTTTGGCAGCTCAGTCACAAAACCTACAAGGTGAATTCTGAGTAAGGGAGAAAAGAGAGGACATACCATCCAGACAATTTCATCAAGACACAAACAAATCTTTCCATATTTGTCAAGAAACAAGCGCTCGGTTGGAGCTTTCCCGCAGGCATCCTTTATCAATGATGTTATTACAAAGATCACTTCTGCCACTTGAAGAAGAGGAAAGGACATTAACGTAGAGGATAAATGACACAGAAAAGATCGGGATAAAAACAAAACAAAAAAGAAGGAAACGCTGCAATTTTTTATCAGGAGGATGAGGGAGAGAGAAGGAATTGAGTCCAAAGAAAAGGGAAGAATTGGCATTTACTTACAAGCTAATTCATCATATTCATCCTTCCCAACAACATAAACAGCAACATCACCGAGGACTGTGTAAACAACGTATACAGACCTGTTACAGAATGTTAGACAAATTTAATGGTAAAACCAGCTACAGAAGACAATCCAATGAGAAGTATCACAAAATTGAAAGGGACTGATTGACGTAATGTATGAGAAATGCTTTTATTTTAGATGGGGAAGGTTGACTCTTATTCAAGCCACTGGCTAACCTTGTTGTTTAAGATTCCCTCATGAGCAAGGCAGTCTATTGGGAAAAAAGGAAAGAAAGAGAAAAAAAAATAAAGAAAGAGAGAAAAAGAAGAATTATCAAAGGAAACATCCAGATTTGGAGAGGGAAGCATTTTATTTAGCAGTAAAACAGTTTATTTCAAACATTGGTGACCATTTGAGCTAAGAACACAGCCTTTGTAACTTTTGTACTATATGGCAACTACCACACATTTCAACAGTAGTTCAAGAAGCCCCTAGAGGTTTGCAGTTGTAGCTAGCAAATACTATGTTTTCAATACCTCCCTCTTGAGTTGGAGGAAGGATAAAGAGACAATTTGATAAATGAGTACTCAGTCCATAACAATAATTAGATGGAAGCAAAATGATGATCATTTTATACATTCAAAATATCCATGTCAGGGATGGAACCTTATTTTTAACAGTCAATAAGTGATAGAGAAGTAGAATAGCTTTCTCTTCAATCCATTTTCAAAGGTCTTAATCCATCTTCAAGATCTTACTTGATAAGTTAGGCAATTTCTAAGGAGATGACCAAGAGGCTTTGGAAATAGAAGGTACCTATGAAGAATATATTATTCGTGCAGTCATTGCTTGGCAGAGTGGATGCCATTTATGTCTACAGAAAAAGAAAAGAAGTTGCTCGCTTATGCCCCAATTGGTCTGGGTTATGCAAGAATAATAATGGAAGATCAAGGCACTAGATCAAGTTCAACAAGTTTTTCAAAGAATCAAGGGGGCCAAGGGGCAGATCCTAAGAACATTTGACTCATATTGGCGTTGTCTCTGGAATACCAAAGACTTCATTATTCATAAACAAGCTTGAACTTGCAGTTTCTAGCTGTCTATTATTGTTGGAGATGAGAAACAGAACCGATCAAAGAACAGCAATGGAGGAAAATGGAAATGGAGGCTTGTAAGTTCTAGCTGTCTATTATATCCTATTGGATTTAATGGACTTGGCGACAATTGCGATACTAAAACATTATAACAATAATCACGCAAATAAACTTCATCGATTTCCCCCGCGCATTTGAAAATTCTCAGGGATGAAGCTCAATAGAAGAGGAGGATGAGGCTCAATCGTTATCCTTTGAGTTTCTCCTTCTCACCCTAGGGGTGGGAAGATCAACAAACGGTACCTCAGATGCAGAGTATGAAAACTCGTCATTTTTTGCAAAGATCAGTTTTCAATTATAATGCATCACTGAGAATTGTTCAAAATTGCTTCTAAAGAACTGATCGGAAGATTCCACTCACTTGTGCGAAGCAACATAGAGCTCTTCATTTTTTGCACCTTTGAGATTATCAGCTCCCAGCTTCACTAGAAAGGATCGCCAATGCAATCGCTCCTCTGCCGGAACTCCGTGAAACCTAAAAAAACAAATAAAAATCATGATCAACAGTTCAATCGCATGAAATTAGATGGCGAAGAATTCCTAACCAATAGAACACAAAGTCAGTCCAAGTTAGAGTAGATGGCAGAGACAGAGCAACATTTCCCTCCTAAACACCAAATTCTCAAGCTTATTTCAATTCTAATAGGAATACATCTGAAGTTAATCGCACGTTTCACACAATCATCAAAGCAATCGGCACAGAAAACCACAACAAAGCGATTGATTACACAACGAAGCCATTCAAATCACACATTCTCGCTAACGCACATCAGAAACATGAAAAGGAAACGGAAAAAAAAAATGCTCAATCGATTAAGCCAAGCAGCGTAAGAAAAAAAAAATGGTACCGTTCGACGAGAATGTTGCCGACGGAGTTGGCAATCAGCACGGCAAGCAACATGCCTGATCTTTCGGATTCGATCGGAGTTTCTCAAGGAAGAAATCTGATTCAGAGCCGAGTTATATTCTAGTTCGAATTCTCGAAATAAATCTTACAATCCCAGATTCTCTCTATCGCACTTTTTCTTTTTCCTTGTTCTTCCTTTTCCTCTTCTTCTAAGTTCTCTTCTAAGGCACTAATTAGGGCTTGTTTGGCAACGGATATAGCATAATCTGATTCGAGAATTGTATAGCGTAACCACGTTGAGGTCAGTATAATCCAGCCTATGACCCACGAAAGTAACTGTTTGGTAAAATACACACATTTTTTGTAATATAATTTTAAGTTTAAACTAAATATAAATAAAATAAATAAAAATTTCCACGTCATGACTTCAAATAAGATTTAACCCAATTTCACTATGAATGCTCCAAAAATATATTTGTATAGGTACAAACCTTCCCGACCCAAACCATAATAGTTGGGTCGGATTCTTTTCGATCTGTTTTTTGTTGGACTTTTTGAAAATTGAAAATTCGAGTCGGTTCGTGAGTTCATATTTTTTATCGGATCAACTTGACCTATCCAAAATAGGGTTACAACTCTACGAAAATTAAAAATATTTGACATTTATAACCGATGTTAGTGATGTATTGTAAAACGCATCTACTAGGGGAAGGTTTCGGTTTCCACATTCTTATAAAGGGTGTTTTTTTTTTTCATCCCCAACCAATGTGGGACATCACAATTCACCCTCCCTTCGGTGCCAACGTCCTCACTGGCACTCGTTCCTTTCTCCAATCGATGTGGGACCGCCACCAAATCCACCTCCCTTTGGGCCCCACGTCCTTATTGGCACACCGCCTCGTGTCTATCCCCCTTCGGGAAATAGCGAGAAGGCTGGCACATCGTTCGATGTCTGACTTTGATACCATTTGTAAAGACCTGGCCCACTGCTAGCAGATATTGTTCTCTTTGGGCTTTCCCTTTCAGGCTTCCCCTCAAGACTTTAAAACTCGTCTAGTAGGGAAAGATTTCGATTTTCACGCGAGTGTTTTGCTATTCTTCTCATTTCATAATCAATATAAGATTTTGTTTGCGTTCTCCAATATACATTTAAACGTGTTTTAACCGCTAATATTTCATTTAATTTTAGCCTTTTAACTTCAATGTCGATGCATCTCGGTGCTCGCATCGAATTCTTTTTTAAAAAATTTAGAAAAGCAAACAAAATTTAATAAATTTCTATAAAAAATAAATAATAAATAAAGAGAATAATGTATGAGGTTTGAATTTTGGGAACAATAAATGAGAATTTGTAGAAAGTCAACGTTTGAGGAAATGCCACGTGTCAACCAGAAAGTGGCTACAAAAATTGTCAAACCTTAGCCATGGGAAACCTCTTGAGCCATCCAATCTCTCTTTCAAATTTTGTGGCTCCAATTATATTTTGATTCTATAAAGTATTTGTGTGGCTCTAAAATTTTCAATTAAATAAGGAAATTTTACTTTTATTTTATCTAAATTACCAAGGTTTATTTAATTAACAAGACGTGACAACTTCGACAAAAAATTGTCAAAACGAGCATAGTTCAACGATAATAGAGATGCTCATTTAACCCGATGAGAATGAGTGAGGGAACGAGAGAGATTTCTCCTCATTAGCTAAACGAGGCCGATGACAAAAATATATTCCGTGTTCCTACCCGAGCTAAATAAGACTTTTCTCATACTAGCAACAAATAAATATACAAGGACCAAATAGACAAAAAAAAAAAAAAAATT